AAACTCTCAATTTGATCCTTAATAATTGTATGGATCTCTAAATTAATTCCTAAATTAAAAAATTTCTAATTTAATCCCTAAAGTTTAATTTTTCAACCTTTTTTGGTCCTTTATTAACTTTTTTATAATGTTTAACTAACGGTTGACCCTTTTTTATTTCATATGTGGAAAATTCAAGTAGTAAAAATGATGACATGGACAATAAATATGACATAAAATTATACAATTGACTTTATTTATTCAATCTCATATTAAAATTATAAATTTACCCCTTCTTCTTCCTCTTGCATCATCTCTTTCGAATTGTTTGGTACTTTGACACCCCAATCAATAAGAAATTTTGCTGTATTCCCAAGATACCACTAACGTGATATCTTAGGTCAATCAAAAAACATCACTTTGGCTTTTCTTCGTTAGATAACTAATGAGGTGTGAAAAAAAAAAGAGTTAAGGTGATATTTTTTTATTGGTTCGGGATATCACATTTGCAATATCTTGGGGATACAATACAATTTCTCCCAATCAACCCATCAAAACACAGAATTTCTTCAATTGAACTAAAACAAAATTGAACCCAAATTAGATTCTGCCCCTCCTATTTTGCTCACCACTTTAGATTCTCCATGCCAGCTTGTCTCTTTTCCTAACCCAACTCTTTCTAATAGATTCTTCCTCTTCTACATCCTTTGCAACCCAGATTTGGTTGATGACATCATTTTTTTGCATCTCCTTTATCTTCTTCCTTTGCTGCAATGTAGCACTGAGGTCTTGATAAATGACATCTGCAAGAATACCAAAGACTTTGATTTTTGCTCCAAAACCTTGCACAACAACTTGTGATATGCTCTACACATTCTCAAGTATGGGTTTCTCGCCCCTATCTGCACACCCAAATTTGGTTTCCATTAGCTTGTTTCCTAAACTAGTTTGTTGGAGCAATCCAAGTCCAATCAAAGTAAATTTTGAGTTAGCGAGAGAGAAAGAGATGGATAATTGGAGGCAATTGTAGGTCAAGGAGTTAGAGTTTGCAAAAGGTGAAGGAAAGGAAAAAGAGAGAGAAAAAAACCCTCAATTCAATCAGACCTCATAGGAGTTACAATTTTAAGCTTGATTTGCAGTGGCTATGGAGCTCAATCTTCGCCAGAAACAAACAAGTAATCATTGGTTAGATCTCTCCTTCAATTTATTGAATTTAGACACATTAAATTGAGCAAAGAAGACTCATATTCTTCGATTTATAGGATTCAAGTGTGAGAATCTCTTGTGGGTTCAATCTTGACTATGTTTGGTGTGTGATCTATTGTTTCATGAAGTGAAATTCATAAAATCAAGTAGAAATTCTTTTTTTTTTTTTTCCTTTGATTTCGTATATGCTAACTATATTTGATCCTTGTTCTTTGGTTATAGATTTGAATGAAATATGGGTATGGTTATGTCATAATCAGTATCTAAATGAAATTAGGATTTGCAGAAGGTGAAGGAAAGGAAGAGGAAAGAAAAAGGGCAAGAGGGAAAAAAAAAAAAGAAAAAAGAAAAAGAAAAATGGAATTTTTTAAGGTTTTTTTTCCATAGCATTATTTTTGCAATGCTGTCAATCCTATGTGTGTTAATGTTTTAATGAGTCATCGTTCACTTGTCAATGAGACACATCAGTGATTTTTAATGAAAAAATCAAGTTAGAGTTAAATTTAGAAACTTTAAAGACCAAATCAAAAAAAATTTTAGTTTAAGAGAATATACAATAGTTATGGGAGCAACTTGGGGGTTTAACCTTTTATTTTTACTAACCTTTATTTCAAGCCTGCCATCATCCAAAAACTATATGAAATTGTCCACTCATGGTCCTTCTGTCGGCATGGAATGTTCAAGGGGGTGTTTGTTTTAACATTTAAGGGAAAGTTGATAGCTATTGGCTCCTAAACAGTTATTTAAAGGTGTTTAGATAAGTTTTTTTTTATCAGTAAATGTGAATCAATTAACAATTATTGCAAATGTGAATAGAATAATAGATGCAAAAATGAATAACTACCAAAGTTAATTGTTTGAGTTAAATGCTATTTTCATTTTTTTTATTTTCGTTTATTTGTACCAATATATCCCTAACAATATTCTTCAAATCTCTATAACGACCTTGCACAACCAATCTACTCACTATTTCAAAATCCACAGTACAGGTGCAATGGCTTGCCACTAGCCTCATGTGGAATTCACCTGGTGGATTATGTTCAAGCCTCACCAACCCTTTCCCCATTTTCCTCCCTCTCCATCTCTCTCCCCCTCCTTATAACAAATTGTCTATGTTCAAAAAAAAATCTACCTTCTATTCAAAATACTAATCCCAATTTTTGAAAGACTTGTGAAAAATTGTGGAGAAATGAGAGGAAGATGAGAGGTGAGAATCAAAGGAAATTGCTTTTGAGAATTAGTGATTGTGACCTGTGACCGACATCAAACGGATCAATGAAGACCAATGTACTCCAGCAAAGAGAAGCAATTGTGGGGGAGAGAGAAAAAAAGAGGATCAAGGAGTGGAAGATAAAAGATAAGAAATGGACTTGCTTGATGTAAAAAAGGAAAATTAAATATAATCCCACCTAATCTCAAGAGAAGTTGGATACAATTTACGTAGAGATAAACATCATCTCATCCATTTACTCTTCGAAACATTAGTTACAGTAAGGCTGGACACAAAAAATATTTATCCAATCCCATAACTTATTTGGCACTCTAAATGTGCTATTAGGGTATATGTTAAAAAAATATGTTATTTTTTTATTATTATAAAAATGGAAAATTAATGTAACTAATATGAATATATCCTTAATAATAATTTATATCAAATACTAATTACAAATAGCAATAACTATTAATTATATTTTTTTTTTGGTTTCCCATCCGGTATCCGAGGCTTCGCCTCGACTAATCCGGATCGACCCACGTCGCGTACCTGAAAATGGTGGGTGAGTCTCCCAACGGAGACTGCTGCATTCACAAAGTCTCGAACTCGAGATCTTGTTTAAGCTAGAACAAACCGCTTACCACTTGATCTAACTCCTCGTTGGTATAACTATTAATTATTAGTTATTGAGTATTAGTTATCAATCATCAGTTATCTGTTATTTATTATCAATTATCAACTATCAATTAAATTTAAACAGCTAATCTAAACGACCCTTAAGTCCTAATGGTTGCTAACATAGCGATTAATAGGGTTTTACATCTATTCTAAAATAATTGTCAATAAATTAATTACTTTTTGATTTGTTTATTTTTACTCAAAATTTATTTAAATTAATTTTTTTATTTTTATGTAAATAAATATTTTTTCTACTTTGACTCTATTATTATGACTTAAATTTAATTATTTACTACCTAATTACATCAAAATTTATTATTATTTATTATTATTATTATGAAGGATAATATTATAGAAAAATATATATAAACTATTTACAAAATCTTAATTTGTGTTAAAGAAAAAGTCAAAAATTAACAATTATTTTAATAAAGAAGTACTACATTATAAGGAAATTGAGATAAATTATAAAACATATTTTACTCCCTTTATGTCAAAATAATAAATATTTTTTATTTAGATTTTACCTTAGAATAATAGTCATTTTTTCTTATTTTAAGGGAGAAAAAGATTTTTTTCTACTTTAAGTTTATGATTATCTTTCAACTTTAATTATTTATCATCTAATTAAAATAGTTATTTATTTTTACTTATTATTTAAGGGTAAAATAAGTAAAAATAAAAATTATTCTTGAATTCTTAATCTGTAGATAAAATAAATATATATATATATATATATCTATTATTTTGAAACCAAGGGAATAGTTAGATTAAATAACCCCTGTCCGGGCTTTAATAAACCAAATACATTGTCAATGTATGCATAATTGTAAGATAAATTTGTGCAAAACTCTAAACTTCTAGGCTTAATGATATATTTACAATCAAACATCTATCATACAAGTGCAAAACATATATGCTCACAATAGACTCCTATAAGAGACAACACATATCCTCTAAAGGACACAAATTAAGACACAACATCAAAACACCATATACCAAGACTTAATATAAAGAAAATGAAATGTACGCACTCGATTAAACATATTTTTTAACACACTTCTTATTTAACCATTAAAAATATATCATAAATATAATCAACTTAGTTGGTTCTTACATTATGTGTGCATAATTGTACCTTTAAACTTACCTGCTTTTTATTTCAAACTAAGAAATAATAATTTTTTAATAAATGTATTGTGTAATATATTGAATCGAAACGTGTATTAATTACTGTCTTTTTTCTATTGTATGAGTCTATTGTGAGCATGTTTCGTTGGTACGATGGGTGTTATGATGGGTGTTTGACGGTACGTGGTTTTGTATGTCCTTGGTTGTGTGGGAGTGGGATTGGAGTATTTCATGTACTTATGAATAAATATAACCTTTGTTAATAAAAAAAAAAAAAGAAGAAAAAAACACTTATTATTAATAAGGTCATGACATGTAGACAACTTATTTGTATAATTTTTATGAGTTTTTCTAAGGGTACCAGTTAATGGCATTTTTTACATTAATTGATATAAAAAAAAATAAAAGTTAACTTTATTTGATTAGCTATCTAACTAAAATGATCCATACAGCATTGGTAATAAAATTAATATCAACTTTTATCATTTTCATTATCAATTAATATAAAAAAAATATATTAATTATATTCTTAACTTGTATCTTAAAGATACAAGTTAAAAAAATCAATTACAACTTTTTGGTACAATATTAAAGGTAGAATAAAAAAATCAATCATTAAATAACATATAAAAAGGATTTAGTAAAAGGAGAGGATTATCTCTTCTTGTATAATCGGTGGCCAAGTTACATTGCTAAGGTCTATTCTCTCTGCCCTCCCAATTTATTTTATGTCCATCTTTAAAATTCCTAAAATTGTGCTTCATGAACTTGTTTGCTTACAAAGAAAATTCTTGTGGGGTTATACGAAGGAGAAGAATAAAATAGCATGGTCAAGTTAGGAGAAAGTTTGCAAGGGTAGAAATGAAGGAGGGCTTGGTGTGCCGGATCTGGAATGTAGGAATATAGCTCTTTTAGGGAAGTGGTGGGACAGATTTGGGAAGGAAGATAATAGCTTATGGAAGAGAATTATTGTAGATAAGTTTTATGGAGGAAGTAAGGTGTGGGATATTAAAGAAGTTCAAGCTAGGAAGGCTTCCACACTATGGAGAAATATAGTGGCATTAGGAGATGAAAGGGGTAGAGGTGCTCGAATGTATAGAGAAGGATTCTGTTGGAAGTTGGGGATGGGTGATAAAATCAACTTTTGGAAGGACAAATGGGTAGGAACTGAAACTCTGAGTGACTCTTTTCCTAGATTATTTAATTTGGTCTCTGATAGGAATGCCAAAATTATGGAGGTGGGTCATTTTTCTAATGGAGCATGGGTTTGGAAAAATATTTGCAGACGTGAATTTTTTGGCAGGGAAAAGAATGAAGAACAAAGATTAAAGGAGATTCTCAAGAACGGGATTGTGCTATCATCCCAACCGAACCAAAGGAGCTGGAGCATAGATGCAACAAATGGATACATAGTTGGTAAAGCATATTCAATGATGGTTGGACAGAGCAGAATTCTGGAGGCAAGAATATGCAGAAGGCTATGGAGCAAACTAACTCCAACAAAAATAAGCTGTTTTGGTTGGCGCCTTCTACTTAATGGCCTTCCAACAAAATCAAGTCTTCAAAAGAGAGGCATTTTGATTGAAGAAGAGGAGAGCATGTGTAGTGTTTGTAGAAGGAATGTCGAGGACGAAAATCACCTTTTTGTTCAGTGTTATAAGATCCAAGGTCTATGGATGAGATGTTACAAATGGTGGGGGATTTCCATCTCTCTCCCCAATTCAATTTCTCTTCTTTGCGAAGCTCATAGCCAAGGGATAAAGAAATTAGTTACTGCTGATGTGTGGTTTTTCATATTCTTGGTGGTGACATGGTCCATATGGTACACAAGAAACAACATTATACACAACTCTCAACAATGGGAAGAAGACAAAATATTTGATCTAATTCAAAGGAGGTCTTTTGCATGGATTAGGGGGAAATCTGTAAACACTATGTTTTCCTTTTATAGTTGGTGTAATTTCCCTAACTTATGCGTACAAGAAATCACTAAAAAATAGATTTGTTGTTAGACATTCAGGTTTGATTATTGAATGTCCTCTTTGATATTATCTTGTAATGTCTCCTGGAGACTGTGAGTTGAGTACCTCTT